CCAGGAGGAAACCTGGGGCTTGGGGAGATCGTGGGCCATGCCACAGCCACAGCCGGGGGGGGGGGGGGGGCGGGGCGGGGGGCGGCCACCCGCAGAGGCAACCGGCCTGTGGGCAGCGGCTCCCCAAGCCGGGCGGGCACTCACGTTGGAGTAGCCTTCCACGCAGAGGACCTGCTGCAGGAGCACGGAGAAGCTGGAGAAGATGCCGACGCCGCCCCCAAAGCACACGGCCAGGACCACGTAGGCCTTGTTCCGCAGGAGCTGGAGGGGAAGGGCCGCTCAGCCCCGCCCAGCGGGACCTGCGGGGTGGGGGTGGGGGCCCCGCCCACCCCCATCCACTCTGCCTCCTCCGAGGCCCAGGCCCTCCCCAGCCCCAGGTCCCACAAAACCAACCAGCTTCAGCCCGTCCAGGAACTTCTCCGAGGTGGACTGGGCTGCTCCCGCGGAGGGCGGGGTGGGGGGCACACTCTCCCAGAGGCAGGCGGTAGCCAGCAGGCAGGCCAGGCCGGCGGGAATCACGTAGACGCCCAGCTGAGGGGAGGGCGTGCATGCAGGCACATGTGTGTGCCTGCACACACAGGCCCCAGGGCACCCCATCCGCCATCCCCAGGAGGGCGTCAGTGAGCCGTGGTGGGCCTGCTCAGCTCCGCTGCACTGGAACCCCAGCTTTCAAAGTGCCACCCAAGGACCACGCCGCAGTGACAGGCCTGCCCTCTCCTGCAGCCCCAGAGTCACCCACCCGATGGCCCTGCGGACCCCTCTTCCTGCCTTTGTGAATGTCCCCAACGGCACCCCTGGCACAGCTGGAAGCCCTTCACCCCTCACCACTCCTCCAGCCCTCAGCCCAAGCCTGCCCCGTCTCCGGGATTCCTCGGGTGCCCAGCCACACCCTCACGTTCGGGGGGCAGCTCCAGACCGGACTGAGCCACCACCCTTCCACTGAGACACCCGCAGAGCTTCCTCCTGCCCTCCTCTGGCTCAGCACCACCCCCAACCTGCATCCACCTCCAGGTCCTCCAGGCTCTGCCTGTCCCTCGTCTTCCCCCGCCCCCGCCTGCCTGCACAAGCCCCCCGCCAGCCCCTCCAGTCGCCTCCCCCCTCACCGAGGCCTCCCCTGACAAGGAAACTGCCTGGCACTGAGAAGGTGCCAGCCCTTGCACACTCAGAGAAGCCCTGCGTGCACCCAGGGCACTGCCCCTTGTGGCCACAGGGAGGGGCAGGTGCGTACTCACACACAGGTGTGGACTCGCTCATGCGCACCAGAACCCACCACACATGCATGTGCACACGTGTGCACACGTGTGCATACCACACACTATGCACATGCATACAACACAGGAACGTGCATGCACACAACACAAAACGCATGCATGTGCGCACACCACATTAAAACACAGGCTCCCTACATCACACACAAACTCGCACACACGTGGGGGCTGCGCCCCTCGAGCTCCCTCACCATTAGGGGGACGTCTCTCTCCTTCTTCACCAGGGCAGGAGACAGCACGTTGGCCACCAGGACACCCAGGGGGTTTGCTGCGGGGACAGGCAGAGCACAGGGCAGATCGGCTGCAGGCGGAGCCCCCTGCCCTGCAGGAGCTGGGAGCGCGGAGGGGCCGGGACGCCTCGACTCACCCATGGTGCCGATCATGTTGGCCGTGGCTCGCTGGTGCTCAGGGAACCACAAGGCGGCCAGCTTGGCCGGAGAGAAGACGACCAGGGTCTGGGCCAGGGCACAGAGGCTCTGGCCACACATGAGGAAGGCGAACGGGTCCGGGACGACGGCAGGCATGCAGGGCATGGCACGGAGCACACTCCCGACAAAGTTCAGCGACGCGCACAGGACGGTCTGCGGGCACCGGGTCGGGAGCTCGGCCGGCCAGCCCGTGCCCCTCCAGCTCGCCCCGACGGCTCTGCCCGGGGCCCTGGCCTGGGGAGGGGCGATGGCCCTCCAGCCCACACCCGGGGCCCCGCCCCACCCCAGAACAGGCCCCGGCGTGGGCTCCGACTCACCGCCCAGCGGAGCCCGACTGAGTCCAGGACCCAAATGGCCACCAGGCCAGACGGGATGGACACCACAAAGTAGACCAGCGACAGCCAGTTGACCTGACTGGTGGACAGGCTGAAGTACTGGGCGATGGTGTCGGCCACGGGTGCAAAGCTGAGCCACAGCTGTGGGGCACACGCAGGTGTCAGCCCAGGGGCCAGCGCCGCAGGCACCGAAGCCACCCGCTGCCCTGGGCCGGCCTGCCAGCCCAGGAAGAGGAAGTGTCCTGCGCTCCCAGGGTGTCCGGCCACCCCCAAGGAAGGCTGCCCGTGGGGTTGGACCTCGTGTGCGGTGTGGCGAGTGGACATTGGGCGTGGCGGGGTCCCCGAGCCCACGGGTGTCGGGGTGGGAGAGCCAGTGGCCTTGGCCCCCAGTGCGTGAATGGGCCAGGCAGACATGCGGTCAGGGTGACACTCAGTTCCTTTGGTGGACGCCCAGGTGGACAAGGGCGGGAGGCAGGGGGGACGACCAAGAGCCACGGACGGGCAGAGGGGGAGAGACCATGGGAGGGACGCGGCGAGGGGGAGACAGAGACAGCCCAAAAGACACCTCCAGCCTGTCTGCAAACTCGGTCCCAGGTGGAAACCCCTGGGCTGGGGGGGCCCTGCCTAAGGCCCACCCCCCACAGCAGACGGGTGTTGGAAGGTGTGAGCTGCCCAAAGCCAGAGACATTCCCCCAGCTGTAGGCGCCTTGGCATGCAGGGCGCTCCACGCAGCAGGCCTGCAGGGAGAAGTGGGCACGGCTGGGTCAGCCTGGAGTGCTTCCCGGAGGAGGTGGACACTGTCTGGTCCCTGGAGGGTGGGTGGGACAAGAGGGAGGACTGTGGAGGGGAGGAGACAGGGGAGCCAGTGTGGACCAGGCCCTGTGTGTCACAATTCCAAGTTCCAGATCCTCCAGCCCAGAGAGGGCCCAAGGGCTTGGCCCAGGCCACGCCCCCCCCTCCCCCCCAAGCCCAGGCGGCAGACCCAGGCTTCCTGGCTGACAGCTCTGACCACAGACCCTCACATGACAGTGAGCTTTGGCAACAGCTGCCTTTTCTTCCTTCTTTAAAGGACAGAGCAGGAGACAGATCTGCCATCAGACAGAAAGGGCTCCCAGGCAGGCCCAGCAGCCTTCCACCCAGCCCGATGCAGCTGAGAGAGCCCACGGCGTCTGTCTTCCAGACCTGCCCCTCGGAGAGGAGCCCAGCCCTCCTCGCTGGCCTCAGGCCCCTCGCTGGCCTCAGGCCCCCCTCAAGCTCTTCCTCAGAGCTCGTGGCGGCGGAGCAGTGGAGGGCTCTGCTGCCGACTAGCTTGCCAGCACATGATTGCGTGGCAGCCAAATGCTGCCTGACCAGTCCCTGCAGCTCCGGGGGAGGCTGGGGAATCGCCCTGGGTTCCCTCAGCACAGTGGGAGGTGGGATGTCAGGTGGCCCAAGGCAGCCCCGTGGGCAGTGCCTCTGAGGCCGGACCTGCGAGCAGGCGGCCACGTTGGGGGTTGTGGCGGGCAGGTGGGCTCCAAGCCCTGAAGTCCTTCCGAACAGGTTCCCCAAGACGGCTGTGCCCGCTTTGGCGTGTGAATTATTTTGAGCTGAGGGCAACTGTGTCCCTGTAGGCTCACAGGAAACTCTTACCTCTCCCCCCAAGAACGAAGGTCAGGGGCCTTGCCCAGGGCTGGCTGCCGCCAGAGAGTGTAACCCTCTCTGCAGAGCTGGGCAGCTCCTCGCCCCCGGGCCTCTGCTCCGCCGACGGTCCGGCCAGGACGACCTTCCTGCCTGCCACCACCCCGCGCCTCCCCTCCCCGCCCTCAGCTCAGGAAGCCCTCTGTGCCCGCTCAGCCTGCCTCCGACCCCCTCTGCGCGTGGGGCTTCTCCCGCAGGCGCCTGTGTGACTGCATGTGGTTGCTTTATCGTGTTCATCGCTCGTGTCAATCTGAGTGTCAGACTGGCTGGAGGAACCTGGAAGGGTGACACCAAGATTCTTTCTCCCCCACACCCGACTCTGCTCCAGGGAGTGTAGGTGCCTGGTCGGGGGACCTGCCGCCGGCTGGGCTGGGGTGTGAGGTGAGAAAGGGTCACCCACGGAGCTGGCCTGGATGTTCTGGTCCCTGGACTCCAGGCTGCGTCCCTGCCAGCAATGGGGACACTTCTAGAACAGGTGTTGGAGCCACTGGGGACCCCAGCTGGGGAGCTGGGGAGGAGGGTGGGTGGAAAGAAAGGCCTTTTGAGGGACCTCAGAAGCTAATCAGAATCCCAGGAGGGCACAGGTAGCCAAGGAGGGTCCCTGCTCTGGGAGGGAAGGGGGGCCAGGAGCTGGGTTGGGAAGGCCTGTCCCACGTGTGGGCTTTCTCAGAGGGGGTGGGCACACCTGGAGGGAGCCTCTCATCTGTCCACAGTGACTCCTACCCCGTCCTGTCTCAGGAGGGAGACACTTTGAAAATCACCTTAGAGCAAGGGCAAATGGGCTCCCCTGGCGGAGACACCAGCCCTTCTCTCCCCCAAGAAGCCACAGTCAGAAGGGGCTCCCGTCCCGGCGCCCCCGCCCCTGCGTGGTGGCAGGACTCCCCTGCCCCTTCCCGTCTCTGCGGGATCTAGCCCCGGAGCCGATGCGCACCCAGGGCGCCCCGGGGCACCCGAGACGCCGGAAAGGGGCTCCGCGTGGTCGCAGTCTAGGCCCCTGCCCCGCCCCACCCCGCCCGGCCGCAGGAGTCCCCCGCCCCCCCTCCCCACCTGTACCATGGCATTGGAGCAGCTGAGCAGACTGACCACCAGGAGGAAGACCCAGCGGCGTGCGTAGGCGCGGTAGACCCGCAGCTTGCCCAGGGCCAGGGACTCGGAGGCCCACTGAGGCGTCCCCGACGGCCCTGCCATCGCGCACTAGCGACCCGGCCTCGCGGGCCTTGTGTAGGCGGCCCGCGGAGGTGGGGCCCGGCACGCGGGGCGGGGTCTCACGGCCAGTCCCCGCCCCAGGGTTAAGGGTCACAGCTCCGCCAAGCAGGAAAGGGACTCGTGGTGTTGCCAACCCTGCTCCGTCGGCCGCGGTGCCGGTGCGGGGGACAGTCCCCCTCAGGGGCCCAGCCCGGTCACCGCCGCGGTGTGGTCCCCGCTGTGGACGCGCCCACGTGGGTGAGTGTGGGAGGGGGTGCGACTCTGCTCCGCAGGAGGGCCCCATTTCCGGAAGGGGCGGGAAAGATCCCCTTCCGTGCCTCTCAACCCCAGTTCCGAAGAGGTCCCGGAGGCCAGCCTGGAAGAGGCTGCTGGGGGTCCGGTTTCAAAGCGCGTGGGATGGAGGAAGCAGGAACCGAGGCGGAGGCGGTGGGGGACCTGGGCCAGCAGGGGTGGGGGGTGGTTCTTACCTGCAAATCACAGCCGAGGAAACTGCAGAGGGGAGTCGGGTTTCTGTTTGCTCAAGAGACCCGAGGCCTGGAGGGAAGAGAGGGGACTGTCTCTTCCCCGGCTTCGCCCCCACCCGCAGTCCACCTAGGACCTGTCTCCCCACTGACCCTCTCCCCGAGGTCCCCTTTGGTGTCCCTGGGGCACCGCGCTTCAGTTAGGAAGCCCATACGGCCGCTGGCTTGTGGTCACCACTCCTGGGACTGACCTGCTCCACCGCTGGGCCTCTCCCCAGCCTGGGGCCCTCACTCGGAGCATGCAGCTCAGCGAGGGCCAGAGCGCTAGGGCCACCTGAGGGTCCGTGGCGTCCGTGTGCACCAGCCACGGGATGCAGAAACCACAGTGAGAGACATGTGTCATTGACAGTTAATTCAGAGAAAATTACATTCTTGTGCATAAAGTTAGCAAAATGTACGCAGCACACAACGCTACAAATTACACAGCAAAAATCTTAAAAACGGGGGCATACCATGCCCATGGACCGCAGCACTCGGCAGGGTGAGACGGAGCAGCAGGTTTAAGACAGCTGCTGGCGGGAGGGCTCTGCAGGCAGAGTGGGAGGAGGCACACCCCCCCCACACCCAGCAGAGGACTGGTGCCTCGAAGGCGGGAAAAGGCCTCAGAACTCACCAGCAAAAAGCAGCAACAAAAATGTCCTATTAGAAAATGGCCAGGCCCCGGCTGGTGTGGCGCAGTCGGACGGAGCGTCGTCCTGGAGACCGAAGGGGGAGCCACGGGCTCTGTTCGGGGTCAGGACACACTCCCAGGTCGTGGGTTCCATCCCCCATCAGGGCATGTGTGAGGAGGCAACCAGCCGATGCTTCCTCTCCCATCAATCTCTCTGTCTCTTCCTTCCTCTTTCTCTAAAAAGCAATGAAAACATGTTCTTGGTGAGGATAAAAAAGGAAATGGGCAAAAGACGAAAAGGACAGGCCACCGAAGAGGACACACAGAGGGCACGCAGTGACACGTGGCTGCCGTCATCAGCGTTCAGGGAAACGCCAGTGCGAACCACGGTAAGGCGCGACCACATGCTTTTCCGAACGCCTAAAACGGAAAACAGGGACGCCAAACGCTGGCGCGGCTGCAGGTGCCTCGGTCACTCACACGTTGCTGGTAAGACTGTAAAGCGTGGGAAATAAAATTCTTAAAACTCACGTAATGTGGAAGGTGTATTCCCTTGGGAACAGTGACTTCTTGTGTTCTCAGTGGGGCTGTCCTGTGTAAATCTGGACGAGTGTCTGCAACATAAGCGTGTAAGCTGCTCGAGCTTGGAATGCAGGTCGGGCACCGTCCACGGACGCCGCACCTGCGCCCAGGCCCACGTGCATGCCGAGGTCTGTTCGTGGTCTCCCCACGAAAACCGCCCACGCCGTGTTCTTCCAGTTACTGCTGAAGGCTTGTTTACAGTACCACTCAGCACACCCAGTCATGGCAGGATCTCTTTCGGTTTCTTTGCCTGCTTTTTACCCAACCAAATATAGACTCCTGTCAGCATCCCAAACCAAGGAGCACCCTCTGAGGCGTTGTCAGGCTGGTGTGTCTGCTCTAAGCAAGTACTTGTTCAGAATGAAGCGGCCGAGAGCCATCAGTCTGCCAAGGCCGGTGCAGAGGCACCTCGGTCTTCGCTAGGGATAACGCCGGGGAGGGAGCCTCACCTTACATGTGAGGTGGTGGAGCCGTCCTGCTGGTGGGTTTTATCTGCTCCGGCCAAGAGAGCGTCAGTGATGTGGGGATGGGAGCCAGGCATGTCCTTCTCCCCGTGCCTGGGACCTGCATGTGGCTGAGGACGGGGGAGGGGCGGGGGGCAGCAGGTGACCCTCTGCCTTTCACCCCTGTGTCCCCCACGTGCTGCCTGGCAGGTTCTCCACAGCTGACCCATTCCCCCCACGCATGTCCTGGGCCCCAGTCTTCTGGGCCCGACTCCAGGAGGCACCCCACACCCCCAGGGTCCAGGCTGTCCCTTGGGCCTGCTGGTGCCACTTGCCTCCCGGTCACCAGTGCTGACAGCCCACACACCCCAACACTGCCCACAGCAGGAAGCTGAGTCAGCAGGCCAGAATCTGGATTCTCAGGTGCCTCCAAGATGACACGTGACTCCCACCTTCTCCCTACAGAAGTTCAGTCAGCAACTGGTCCACCGAAAGCAGTTTGCACGGGCGGCGGGCAGCCAAGAGGACGGCTCTGCTCACCGTGGTCTGCTCCCCCCGCCAGAGAGAAGCTCCTGGGGTCACCCCACTCTGCCTCCCTCCAGCACAGCTGGGGAGAGGCCAGCACAGGGGCGCATGCACCCACCGTTGTGGCTACAAGTACCTGGGATGCAGATTGCTGGCCCAGCCCCTCCCGTCAAGAACCCCACAGTCCCATTCCATCCGGTACTGCTTGGACCTATTCGGCCTACAAGTGTGGAAAGAGCTGGTTTGCTCACTTCTGTGAGAGTGTGTGTGTGTGTGTGTGTAGTGTGACATGGGTATGGGACGAGGACTCTCTGGGGTGCGTGTCTGTGAGAGAGTGAGTGAGCGAGGGAGTGGGAGGGTGCCTGGCATTGTGGGGTCCTGACGGCCCCCATTTGTGTGTGTGTGTCTGCGGTGAGCGGGGGCCTGGTGTGCGGCACAGGGTTGTGTGGGCTGCGGCACTACAGGCGAGATGGGTCTCTCTCTTCTGCGTGGTGTGGGTGAAGCGGTTACCTGAGTCCTCTGTCTGAAGGGGAAAGGTGCGTACCTACTTCTTCAGTGTGTAGTGTGTGAACCTTGTTCGCTGTGTGTGTGTCTGGTGTGAGACTGGTGTGTGTTAGATGCAACACTGTGAGGGGAGTGAGATTTCTCGCTATTGCAAGCCAGGGAGGTGGCCTGCTGTCCCCACGGCCCCACGTCCCCACGTGTGTGTTCCCAGGACACACGGTGCAGGGAAGAGGCAGAGAGCGTCTGTCCTGCCAGGGGCAGCCACACCTACATCTGGGTCCTCCAGCTGGCCCCCAGCGTCGGGCGGCATCTGCCCCTGCGGTGCCGTGCGTTTTGGAAGAAGAGCCTTGATATTAGGAAACTCACCCATCCGCTTTCTGCAGAGAAGAAACTTCTCTTTACTCTGGATCATAAGCAAATCCCCAGGGAGAGAAGGCAGGGGGCATCTTCCTGCCTGCCCTAGACGCCTCCCAGACAGTCGTTCTGAACGTGGCTGTGAATGGCTTCTCTCCGAGGACCGGGACAGGCAGACACAGACATGCGAGACGTCCACGGACAGCTGCTTCCCCACGGTATCTATTTTTTAAAGAATATTTTGAGGTGAGTATCCATTTTTGGGGGGGTGTGAACTTTTCATGATGGATCTTCTAGCATCGTGCTCTGAGGTGTAAAGTAAGTATCGTGTGTGTGACTGAGTGTCTACTTTACTTGTGTAAAGTGCAAGAGTGTCTAACTGTGTTCTCTATATGGTTGAAATTAGTACCTCATTTTTCTGTCGGTCGAGTGGCATGAAATTTTGCATACAGTGTGAGATAGTTAACAGGTTTTTCTGGTAGATACTGGAAATGTATTCTACATTTTGTGGGTGTGTACTGATATGTGTCCATTTGCATACATGTGCTATGAATTGACGATCTAATATTTTGCATATGGTATGAAATAGATACCTCGTTCTTGGTATGTATGGTGAGAGAGGATATATAACCTTTCATTTTTGTGTTTTTGAGATGAATATCTGTTTTCTGTATTGTGTAAGATCATTATGTATGTATGCATGTGTGTATTTATGGTGTGAGTTACTTATCTAATTTTACATTTTTCCTGTGAGGAAAAATGTGCAGCAGTTTCATTTTTATTAGTTCTAAGTATTTTGTAGTCTCTTTGTTATAAGGACTTTTTTGAGGTATAATCCTCACATCACACAATTCATCCATGAATGTGTACAGGTCAATAGATTTGAGTATATTTACAAATGTGTCAACCATAACTACAATCAATTCCAAAGCATTTCATCACCCCAAAAGAAACTTTGTTCCCATTACGGGTAACTGCCCACCCCCAGCTTCCCAGCCCCTGGGAATCCCCGATCTGCTCTCTGTGTCTTGGCTGTCGTGATTGTGAACACTGCGTGTAAATAGAATCATAACACGTGGTCTTTTGTGATGGTTTTCTTTCCCGAGCCTCATGTTTTCAAGGTTCATCCATGTTGTAGTGTGTATTAGTACTTCCCTTCTTTTTTGCCAAGTAATATTTCAGTTCATGGGTATGCCACACTTCAAGGGTATACCACACTTTTTTTATCCATTCATCGGTTGGCGTGTGCGCTGTTCCCACCTTAGGGCCATCATGGATGTTGCTACTGTGAACACTGTGTTCTGATTTGGGGGCAGACGTACGTCTCTTCTTATACCAGCACCACGCTGTCTTGATTTCTGTGGCTTTGTAGTAATTTCTAACGTCGGGAAATAGAAGTCCTGCAACTTTGCTCTTCAAGATTTTCTTGGCTATTTTGGGTTCCTTGAATTTCCATACGAATTTTAGGATCAGCAATTTTCTCAGAGAAACCAACTGGGTTTTAATATGGTTTGCGTTGAATTTGTAGGTCAAATTAGGGAATATTAATATCTTAACAATATTATCTGCAACCTACGGACCCATGGATATCGGTCCGCCTGTCGAAGTCTCCTTTAATTTCATGCCGCACTGCTGGACTCTTCCGTTACAGATATTTGCAGGGCCGGCTGTGGCTGCACCCCTTCGGTTCACATCCGCCCTACTGCACCCCACTGCCTGCCCGCACAGATGTTTCCCTCTGTAATTGTCCCTTGCACAGAGTGGCCCTCACCAGGGTGTAGATGTCACGGTCACTGATTACATCTCCAGAGCGGGACCTGCACAAAGGTGGACACAAGGGCGAGTTGGGGGTCAGCCCTGCTGCCCAGTGTCCACAGCACCCCTGGCTAGTGCAGGGAGGGCGCTCGGTGCTAGTTCTCAGGAAGAACAGGAATGCGAGACGGACCGCCTCCGCCAGAGGAAATCCTGATCCAGGAGCAGCAGAGATCCACACTAGCTGCCTGCAGGGTGCGGGGGTATCGCAGGCCAGTGGGTGGCTGGTGGAACGCCGGCCTCCGACAAGCCCAGCCTCCACGGAGCCCCGCCCACAGGCCCCCACCGGGCCCCGCCTCCTATTTGCCCCGCCCCTATAAGGCCCCGCCTCCTACCTTACCTCCTCGACCTATCGCCGGTCACACGCGCCCAGCCAAGTTCCTCCTCAGAGGGGCTCCCTCGGACCACGTCCCCGCCCCAGACCCCGCCTCTAGCGCCCTGGCTTTCCGGAAGCCCTGAGCCCTTGTCCAACGCGCTTGCGCCCTATGACCACGCCCCGGACCCGCCCCCGCTAGGGCCCGCCCCCGCCCGGCTGCAGGGTGGGAGCCGGGCCGCGCAGTGCGCATGCTCCAAGCGCGGCGCCCCCGACTCGGCGCTCGGCTCCGTTCGGGCATTTCCGCCTCTTTGTTTTAAACTCCGGACGGGTTTTTTTCTCCGGCTCTTGGGGGGGACCAGGAGGCAGCGGCGCCCCCTCCCATCCTTTCGCTGCCCCCGCGTGCGCCCCGCTCGTCCGCAGCCGAGACGGCAGGTCAGTGAGCCCGCGCCCCGCCCGGCCTGGCCCTCGGCGCCAGCTGCTCAGGCCGCGGCCTCGGCCCGAGAGGCTCCGAACCCTGGCCGGTGCCCTGCGCCCTCTTCGGCCCAGCCGGAGGAGCGCGACACCGATGCGCCGGCCCTCGGGGGCCGGACTCCACGACCGGTCACCGGGGAGGGACCAGGAGAACCGGAGCCCGGGACGAGCCGTCGGGGAGGGCCGACCCCGGGACCCAGCAGGCAGGGACCACAGCGAGCGCCGGACTCTGAGACGGGTCACTGAGGAGCGTCCGGCCGTGGGATGGGACATTGAGGACGGTCCGAGACCAGTACGGGTCACCAAGGAGGGCTGGGGCCCCAAGACCGGTAGACCCTAAGAGCCGTCACTGCGGAGGGTCGGACCCCAGGACCAGACAGGACCCAGGGCAGGATCCAGGGAAGGCCCGGGCTCTGGGAGGGGTCAGTGGGAGGTCTGGACCCTGGGATAGACCACGGAAAGGTCAGGACTCGGGGATACGCCCGCTGGGGAGAACTGGGACTCTAGATCCAAAGAGGACAGGGATCCTGGGAGCAGTCCCTCTGAGCCCTTCCTGGACCCGAGACAGCCCCTCCCCTGGAAGCTGGGACCCTGGCACAGTCCAAGGGGTCAGGGCTTGTGCCATGTGACAGGCTCCAGCAATGAGCAGTGCCCCAGACAGTTCCCTTAAAGAGAGTTGGGATGCTGAGGCAGGACCCTGAAGAAGCCCAGGCTCACAGGGAGGCCAAGACCCTGGTAAGACCTGGATTTGGAGACTGGTCTCCAGGGAGGAAGGACCCCCAACAAGTCACAGAGAAGCACCCAGGCCTCACGAGTAGACCTTAAGGAGTGCTGGGACCCAAGCCAGGCCCCCAGAAGTTGGTGCCCTGGGACAGAATCTAGAGGTGCCCCAAATCTCCCCAGCCCACTCAACTGGACCCCCATGCTGTGAAGGCTCTGGGGCATTGGGATCCTGGTCACTGGGGCATGAGGCCCCCGAGCACCCTGAGGTCTGAGCCCCAGGGCCCTTCGGCAGATGCAGCCACCTGGGTGGAGCCAGGTTGGTTGGGGCCCATCTCCCTGCCTCCAGGGATTCAAGGGAGGCTCCTAGTCCACACTGGCTCCCAGGCCAGCAAGCACGATGCCCACCCCCAAGACCCAGAAAACTGCCCCCTGTTCTCCCAGTCCCTGCTCCTGGGCTGCAGGCCTTCCCTTGCTCTCTGGGCAGTGTCTGGTGCCTTCATGGCTCCTGTCGCCAAACCAGCCCTGTGCCTCAGAGAGTTCGGGTGCACCCTCCCTCCTGAGTCTGGAGGTGTTTTCACTGCCAGGAGGGGTGGGTCCAAGCCAGGAGTGTAGGCTTTGGGGCATGTTTTGGGGGCAGTTGGCTCTGTGCAGAAAAGTTGGCTGACTTGGGCACCTTCTCCTCTCCAGGAATGGGACACAGCAGAGGACCTTGAGCTGGGGCCTCGGCTTCTCTGAAACCTTTATTTAACTCAGACTTTCATCCAGAACTTGCCTGCATTTAATTAGGAAGTGGGGGTGAAAATGTAGGGTGTGGTGAGCACGCTCTTCGCCTGGGGAAGGGCTCCAGCGTGTGTCCAGTGAGGTACTGCTGGGGGCTGGAGAGAAGGGACGGCCCGAAGGCCGGGGCCTGGCCCAGCCCCATGCCCAGCCCCGCGGCCGGCACGAGGTCAGCGAGCAGCCCTCCGGCAGCCAGTGTGTGGACGAACACAGGGGAGCAGAACTTTCAGAAAGATCGGTTGCCTTAGGCTTGCAAACTTACCCAGCAGGTGGGCAGGAGGAGATATAAATCTCACTCCGGGCTTGGACTCCCAGGAGAGACACTTGAACTTGTCAGTTCAGTATTTCATTTTGTGCCTCAGCATCAGTTGGCTACTTGGGAGAAGCACTTTAGATTTTTAGCTTAACATTTCCTAGTTGCAAATCTTAACCAGTGGAGTCCTGGAGTAGTCCAGGTTAGAAACTTTTATTTGCCAAATGTAACCACTCATCTTACTCAATGCTTGCTTCTGGCTTTTTTTTAAACATACACTTTACTTTTTCTAAAAGTTAATTTGCTCTGTGAACTTTTGAGAAAGACTTGCAGAACTGAGTGTTGGGTTTGATCAGGCTCGCTATTTTCCCACTTTTGGAATTTTAAAGGTGTGAACATGCTGGGTGGTTGTATTATTTATGTATTGCTGTCAACAAATTATCCCAAAACTTAGCGCCTTCAAAGAAATCCATCGTTATCTCCGTGTCTGTGGGTCGGGAGTCCGGGCACCACTGAGCTGGGGCTCCTCGCTGGGGCTCTCAGGCTGCAGCCGGGCTACAGGTGCTGCTCCCTCAGGGTCCCCTTAGGAGAGGCAGCTCCTTGCCCCGTGGGGCTCCCTGTCGGGCAGCTCAGAAGGAGCAAGTGAACGGGAAGGGGGCCGGTTTCCCAACCTTGTCTTCGCACTGACATTCATCCCTCCGGCCATGTCTGCGGGGAGAGCCACGGGGCCGGGCCCACTTTGCAGTGGGGGGGAGCTCCACAAGGGTGCATGCGTACCGGGAGGGAGGGCCAGTCCCCCGGGCTGCCGTAGAGCCCGGCACTTGCTCCGGGTCAGCTAATGCAGGGCCTGTGCCTGTGAAGGGCCCCGGAGGCCCGTGAGCAGCCTTGCACGCAGAGGAGGGCGCCGCTTGAGTTGCGTAGGTTCCTCTGACATCACCATGAAGCTAAAACTGCTAGGAGGCTTGGCGCTCACCCGTGAGGGAGGGTCAGTCGCAGACAGGACGGATGTTTAGGGCTCCCTGCCCCAGTAGCGCAGCCTGAGGCCCCCCCCCCCCCAGTTGAGTCGCAGGTGTATGTGCCGGCGACATTGAATCTGTCACAGTAGCTTTGAGCGCGGTTTTTGTAGTTGTTTCCAGAACATCATTATATTCCTGCCAACGATTTTGCTCCAAAAATTGTAAGCTAACCTTTGTAAGAAGTTTTCTAAGATGCGAGACCCTAAGGCATTTGGGGCGTTTGACCCTTGTAAGGAAGTGATGCCCCCAGAACCGGGGTCCAGGGGCTGCCACGCGCAGGGCCGTGGGGCGCCAGCACCTTCCCTGGCGTCCTGGGCGGTGGCTGGAGCGCAGGGCTGTGAGGGGCCCACCCGGGGCCCGCGTGGGCGCCACACGGAGGCACCCCTGCTGCCCGCTGCCCTCTGGACCCGAAAGTGGGAGGAGTGAAATGTGGGGGTGGTTTGATTTGGACCATAAAGTGAGGGGTTTTTTGGCCTATACTCTTTCTCTTTAATCTGTTAAATGGCAGGATTTGTTATGTATTGGGTTACCGGCCGGAACTGAATCTGAGTAAAAGTGCAGTTTTCCTTTACTCTGGAAGCAGGTTGAGGTTTGGGCACAGCTCCCTTTTCCTGCGCTGATGCTGGCTGCTAGTGTCGCAGAAAGCTGCACAGTCGTGTGCTTCACGCCAGATGGACCTGCCGCGCCTCCGTTCTGCGAGTGGGGAGCTCACCGTGACCTTCGGGACGGTCCTCACCGCGGCTGTCTTTCCTGACAGGCCGAGCCTCCCCCTCCAGGGCTGAATCCCACACAGGACAAGGCGGCAGAGAGCCCGCCGCACACTCGGCGCGCGGGGACAGGGTCAGGGCGTGCACGCCACCTCAGATGCACTGTCAGAGTTGTCCGCGGAATGTGCAAGACTGTCACTGGCGAGAACTAAAACTCACTGGAAAATAGAGTTCTTAAAAACCTATTGTGAGGTCGATTGGTTTTTTTGAAGAAAACTTCTAGAGGAGACTTTAGAGAGTGGAGGTTAAGAGGTTTTTGTGCGAATACGTCAGTGTTTGTGGGACTTTGCTACTTTGACAGCGGGTTCCAGATGCTGGGCGGGCGGTCTGCAAACTGCAGGGAGCCGTCAGGAGACCCCCGCCCCCGCCCAGGGATCCCCGCGGGGCCTGGCCGGAGCCGGGTGCTCAGCCGGGGGGGCGGGGGGACGGAAGGCTGCTGCTGGCGGGTCCGCCCTGGGGCCCTTGGACAAGCCTGGCAGCTGCCAGGGAGGCGGCCTGGCCTCAGGTGGGCAGTGGGGGCAGGGGCGGGCTCGCCTTTCCCGCTCTTTCACTTCAGGTGCGGTCGTTTTCTCCTCTCCCCGAGCTTTCCGTGGGAAACGCCGCAGAGCGAACCGACAGCCTCGGGCAGTGAGCACCCGCGGGCGGCCGGCCGGCCCTGTCTGCCTCGCCTCTTCCCGAGGACACGCTGGTTGCTGTGGAGTCAGGCCGGCGGCCGCGGCACACCCGCGGGTCCAGGAACCGCGTGGGCTCCAGGCGGCCAGCCGCTCTCCCCGCTGGGAGGCGGGCGCCTTTTCCTGTGGTGGCTGCCGTCCTGTGGGCTCGCGGACTTCCTGGGTGTCCCAGCGTCGTCTTACGTGGCGACGTCAGCACCTCCCCCCCCTCCCCGCCCCTGCCGCAGGGCCCCGCGCAGACAGCGGTCCAGGCGGTTCCGGGTCTGCCCCGCGGCCGGGCGCCGGGCGCTCCGTGGCTCTGCGCTGTCTGGGGACGCCGGGTGCTCGGGCGCCACCCTGTCGGCCCCCGTCTGGGGTCCTGTGGGCTGGCGGGTGCACAGGAAGCCCGGCGCCTCGGTCGGTCCGGGGGTTACACCGTGGCCGCAGGCCGTCCGTCTCCCTGTGTCCCCCGGGGCGCCCCCAGGTGCCTTGGGAGCCTTCGGCCGACTTTGCGGACGGGTTAGTGGGTAGAAAGTGCTTGGATGTGTGTGGAAAGGCGACTTTTGCCGTCAGATACAGTAACTGCCTTTCCCTCCGCGGAGACGGGCCCTCCGGAGGCAGGCCCGCTGCCCCGCCGGGTGGGGGAGGCGGACATCAGAGGCCGGAAGAGGGGCGTGCTCGTCCGCTCCGCCGGCCGCAGCAGCGTAGCGCCGCGGACGCCCGAGGTCGCGGTGCCCGAGGTCGCGGTGCCCGAGGTCGCGGTGCCCGAGGTCGCTTGGCTCCTGGGCAGGGCTGCCGCTCTCTGGGCTCACAAGCAGCCCGTTGCGCCCGCCCCGTGAAGCTAAGCCTGGGCAGCCCACAGGCCCGTGCTTGGGCCGCGTTGCGTCCCGGCGGAAGGGCTCCCGCCCCTGCCACCCGTTCACCAGCCCGTCTCTTGTCTCTGGGGTCGGCAGGGCCATCGCTGATGAGAGTTTTTCCAGAGTCGGTGGCCACTCTGTATTTTACGGCCGTTCTCCTAGAAACTATTACGTTCACTTCTCTGTGGCCGTGTCACACACTGCCACCAGTGTCACACCCCTCACTGGCCACAGTCCTGGGGTCGGCGCAGCGTGGGTGGCGCTCCCTGGCTCTGGGCTGTGGCCGTGGGTGCCGCTCTCAGCCAGGCCACAGGACTCGGCCGGCAGACCCGCCTCTGCATCGCAAGGCTGAGGGGACGCTTGGGTGAGGCCGCCAGAGACCTGCCTTGTCCTCTGTCCGCTGATTCGGGACCATAACTATTTCTTCAAAAGCCCCTTTGCCTCAGGTAATAAGGGCGGAGGCTTGTGTCCAGCAAGGCCCACGATCTCAGGGCCACCTCCAAACCCTGCCCCTGGCCTGCCCCTCCCCCCACACCCTTGTCCCTTCTTCCCAGGAGCCCCTGGGTCTCCTGGTCAGGGTGCTCCCTGAGGTGCAGCTCCCAGGCGCGTGCAAACCCAGAGAGACTGGAGCCTCCTGCCCCCCCCTCCCACAGTGGGACAGGCGTGGGATGGCTGGTGCCGCCCTTTGGCTTCAAAGGGAGCCGTGGGGGTAGCTGGGAGTCCCGGGTCTGGCGCCATTCCAAACTCAGGGTTACCTGCTGGGCCCCAGTGTGGCTCTCTGGGCCCCAGGGTCCACCCTGAGTCGGCCTTTTCCGTGAAGGGGTGTGTGTCTGCAGCTGGCGCCCTGGCAGCAGGGCCCGGGGCCGACAGCCCTCCGCCGTGCGTCTGCAGAGGTGCACCTGAGAGCCGGGGGTCGCTGTGGTCACCGAAACGTGTTTGTGTCCTGCTGGGTCCCGGCTCACCTCCCCGCTCCTGACGTTCCCTGACGACGTGACTGTCTCCTGTTGCGCGTCCGAGAGGGTCCTGTCTGAGCCTGGGCCCTCCTCGTGCCCCTCCAGCTCACGCCCGCCCCGCCTCAGAGCCTCATCTGGGTGCCCAGAGTGGGGACTCCTCACTCCGGGCAGAGCAGAGAAGGGGCTGGGGGACCTCGGGGCTCCCAGGGAGCAGCAGAAAGGCCTCCTGGCACAGTCGAGGCCGGGCCCTCCGGGGAGGCTGGGCCTCCGCCCCCTGGCTAAGGTGAGGCGAAGAAGGGCTGAGAGGCCCTGTCCAGCAAGACCCGGCCCCGGGCATGGGGGTTGGGGTCCGGCGGGCCCAGGGCGTCCACATGCAACGCCAGGGCCGGGGCTGCGGCCCGCGGTCCTCGCAGGGGCCTTCCTGGTCCCACCTCAGACCTGGTGCCTGTTGTCCATCTCCCGCCAGGACGCTGTGTCCACGTCCCCGTCCCCGCCGTGGCCCTGTCCCTCCTGGGGGCCCCGGCCTCCCGCCCAGTCACCCCAGAGAGGCGTCGCCCCACCTGAGCTCTCACAGACCTCCGTTCCGCCTCCCGGGGCACCAAGGCCGGGACGCGCCCCCATCCCCTGCGGTCCTGCGCGTGCCCTCCGCCCCTGGCCTCAGCACCACAGCGACCTGCCTGCATCTCCCTGGTCAGCCCTGGCTCTTCCCCGGCACTAATTCCTGTTTCCCTTCTGCTTTTAAGCACATAAAGGCACAGGCGTGTTCTGTGGGCCAGGCCCAGGCCACCGGGAGGCGGGGACACGGCCCGGACGGCACACCCGGCTGACGCCCCCGCGCCTTGTGTCTCTGCAGGCCTCAGGATGTAGCGGAGGGTCCCTGGCCCCACGTCCAGGTACACGCAGCCTCCCCGTTGACGTCCTCGTCCCCCTGAGCCCGCGAGGGGGCCGCCCTTGCTGCGGGTCACGCTGCGGGGGTGGGGCGGCCCCCAGCTCCCGGGGGTCTGCCCGCTGCTGGCTGCAGGTTGTCTGACAGCCGCAGCCAGAGCTGCTCTGCGGGGCCGGGGGCCGCGCAGACGGGGACACGAGTGAGGTGACGTGTTTCTGTGCTAGAAAATGGGAAGAGAGCACGGGACCGGAGGACGGCGCAGAGGTGAAGAAGACTCGGCGTGCGGACTGGCGCGGCTGCCCGCGAGCGACAGCGCCACGGCCGAAGCCTGAGCGCCGATGCGGAGGCGGAGGGAGGGGCCGACAGCGTCTAGAGGAGGTGAGGCCTGGGCTGGGGGCCGTGGTGCTCGCTACCCGCCCCCCCCCACCCCGGGCTCCTGCGTCCACCCTGCTCCGTTCCCTGTCCAGGCGGGCAGGCCCGAGGGCAGCAGGTGTCCAGTGTGTGCTCCGGCCGGTCTCCCGGCCTGGGGGTGACGGGCCTTGCGGTTCCCGAGTGCAAGCCTGGAGCCGCCTGCTCCCTCGCACCCCCCCCACCCCCCCGCCACCCCGCTCTGCTCAGCCCTGCCCCAGGAGGGACGGGCAGAGTGGGCCCGTCCCCAGGAGAGTGGCTGGATTGTCACGCGCTTACGGACGGGGGCTGTTCCGCCCGGCCCCACACAGGCCGGTCTGCCGGAGGGGACGGTCTGCCGGAGGGGCGTCCTGCAGCCTCGCCCCCTGAAGCCGAGCCCCTGGCGGGAAACACCAGGGCCTTTTCAGGTGCTCATTCACACGCCTTGTCCTCTTGCAGAAGCCAAAGATGTTGACCAGAAAGATTAAACTCTGGGACATAAACGCCCACATCACCTGCCGCCTGTGCAGCGGGTACCTCATCGACGCCACCACGGTGACCGAGTGTCTGCACACGTGTACGTGACTGGGCTCCGGGACGCGGCCCTGCCTCCCCCCTCCCCCCCTCGCGCCCTCCTCGCACCCCCCTCCCCCGCCCGCCCTGTCCCGGCCTCGCCGCACTGTGGTCCCGTGGTCCGTGTCCCCGCATGTCCCCCCAACCCCCCACTGTCAGCCTGCGCCCGTCGGCGAGTCTGTCTCTGTGTCGGCGCCCCTCCTGCAGTCTGTGTCAGGCGCCGGGTGTGGGTGACGCCACACGGCACTCATCGCATGGCACCTCTTTGGCTGCTCGAGTGCGCTCCGGGCCCACCCACGCCGCGGCGGAGGGGCACGTGCTTGCCCTTCTGCGGCCGAGCGGAGCCCCGCTCACTGCGAGTGTCCCACCACGGTGGGCAGCCCGGACAAGGCCCTGGCAGCCCTGTGCACGCTGTCCGGCCCGGGGCCCGCGCCCGTGGCCCGCGCCCGTGGCTGTGAGAATGTTCCAGGACATGGCCTTGGGCAGTTTCCAGTCATCTGTTCTTTGACGTTTGGCCCTTTCTTTTTTCCCCCAACAGCTTCTAGCTAAAGCACAGGGCAGGACACAGACGCTGAAATAGAAAGGTTCCTGAGCCCTGGCTGGTTTGGCTCATTGTGAACCAAAGGGTCTCCAGTTCGATTCCTGGTCAGGACACATAAGTTAAATAAACACACAAAGTTTATCTTTAAAAAAGAAGTTCTTAAAGAAAAATCAGAAAAATTATTTCATATTAAAAGTACTATGGATAATTTCAATAGCAGTGTCATTTCAGAAAGCTAAACAGTGGAGAACTGAGTTATTCTCATGTAACAACTGAGTGTCTGTCTCCTGTGGGCAGGGTGTGTGGTTCCATCTGCTGGGGAGCTGCTGCCTCTCAGTCTTCACGAGACTCAGTCTGTGCTGAACTTGCATGTTGGGTTTCTTGAGCACAGCTTCAGCTGAGAAGTAGACGTCAGGGTTCACCTCGAAGTGCAGTTGCCGAGGATGTTGGAGAGAAGCAGTTTCTCAGATGGGAAGTTTACACTCAAACGCACCTGGAAGACCCGTAACTTTTTTTTTAAGATGTTACTTATTTATCTTTAGAGAGGATGAGGGAGGGAGAGAAACATCCATGTGTGCTTACCTCCTGCGCCCCCTACTGGGCACCTGGCCCACAACCCAGGCACGTGCCCTGACTGGGAATTGAACCGGCGACCTTTCTGCGGTTCGCCAGCCAGCACTCACTCAGTCCACTGAACCACACCGGCCAGGGCTGGAATACCCGTAGCTTTTTGATCCTTTGTTGTTCACTTCAGAAAGAAAATATTTTCTAATTTTCATAGAATTTCTATTTTAATTGTACTTTTAAGTAATGATGGGCATAATTTACATTGTTTTCACTGAAGTTCTGGTGTGTAAAGAAAACCCCACGGTCTCTCAGGCTCTCAGAGCACTTCTGAGGGTTCACCTCGAGGTGGCAGCCCCCCGGGGCGCCGGGGGCCGCTGGGCCCGGGCCCGGGCGGGCCCTGACGTGGGTGTGCGTCTGCCCGCAGTCTGCCGCAGCTGCCTGGTCAAGTACCTGGAGGAGAACAACACCTGCCCCACATGCCGGATCGTCATCCACCAGAGCCACCCGCTGCAGTACATCGGGTGAGCCGCCGCCCGCTCCCGCAGGGCCCCCGGGCGGGGCTGGGGCGGCACGGCCGCTGGGCCCCGGACTCGAGAAACCGGCAGGCAGAGGGCACGGGCCGCCGACAGGGCCCCGTCGGTGCCGCTGCCTGAGGCGCCGCGGGCACAGACCGCGTGGGGCCCTGGTCCGGGCCGCGTTGCTGGCTGGGCGCGTGGGAGGGCCGCGGGCGCCCTGGCTGACCCGCCGTTCCGTCCCCCGGCAGCCATGACAGGACCATGCAGGACATCGTGTACAAGCTGGTGCCCGGCCTGCAGGAAGGTAAGTGTCGGAGCGCCTCTCGGCGGCCTGGTCTGCACGGGAGGCCCCTCGGTTCTCGCGGCAGGTCTCTCCCATCGCCTCTGCCTTCCGCCAGGGAGTCCTGGCGTGGGCCCCGCGCGTGCCCGCGCCTGTGTGGGGCACCCGGGCACAGCCGGCGCGGGGGGCCGGGAACCGTAGCTGCTTTCAGGGTCAGCTGTCACGGGAACGAGAGCTGCCGCGCACTGCACACCCTTGCGGGTGGAAGGGGCGGTTCTCCGGGCAGTGCTGGGCGCTGAGGCTGGTGCTGGCCTTGTGGGCGGGGCACGGTCAGCACCCCGTTTCTCGGGGGCAGCGGGCCGGGGGACTGCCTGCGGGGGGCACTTGGGTGCTCTCCCCAAGGCGAGGTGTGTGAGGAGTTCTGTTTTCCCTCTGTTAAATTTCAGGAGAGCGCTGTAATTTAAGACTCAGCTACCGAGTTACATCCATAGAGATCGTATGTAACTTGGGGTGACTCTGTCAAAGCCTCTCACCGCTCGCAGAGCTCACTCACCCAGGCACTGGGGTTTCCTGAGTGCACATGGCTAGGAACAGTCGTTCTGCTGAGGGCTTAGTCCTGGGAAAAAGCAAACGAGCATCAGGGTGAGATGCCGCCCCCGCAGAGCCCTGGCGGGCTGCCTCGGGCACGCGGCGGGCACGTCAGCGGAGCTCGCTTCCTCTCACAGCAGCTGCCGGACTCTGGCCGCTGCCTGAGTCCTTCAGGGGACGTTTGTGAACGGGACACCAGTGTAACTCATTGCCTGCTTAGGGTTAAAGGTTATGTATTCATTCTTAATAGCGGAAATGAGAAAACAGAGGGAATTCTACCACAAATTGGGCATGGAGGTGCCTGGAGACATCAAGGGGGAGACTGGTTCTGCGAAGCAGCACTCAGACCCCCACCGGAACGGTAAGGCGTGGAGGGGTGCCGTCCCCGTCCCTGCCCCTGCCCCTGCCCCTGCCCGTGGCAGTCGGTGTCACCCAGCAGTGACCTTGGTGGGTGTCCGCATGGGAGGCGAGTGTGCCCACCTGGTGGGGGACGGGGGGACACGGTGGGGGGGCGCGGGCAGCGGGCTCCGGAGGCGTTGCCCAGGCGTCTGTGTTTCGCTGTAGAATGTGGCGAAGGAGCGCTTGGGCTTTGCTGTGAAACTGGTGGCACTTAAGCCTGCACGAGCCGAGACAGATCACTGAGATCCTGGGTGCCCCGAGGTCTCCAGCGGGCCCCACGGGTCCCAGCGAGCCTGGGGATGGCCCCATGCACCCCCACTCTCCTCGGAGGGAGAGCCCTGGGAGGCTGCTGGGGAGATGCCCCAGCCGTGTCGCCCACGGTCCGCGGCGGGGTCCACGGCGGGGTCCTCGCTGCAGAAGGGACGTCGAGCAGCCTGGGCGCCGCGGCGGGGTGCTGCGCGTCGAGGAGCGTGGGGGCAGCTGAGCCGCCCCGTGGCCCTTTCCCTGTGCCGCCGTTGCCGCCCACGCCCCGCACCACACAGCCACGCAGCCACGCGCAAGTCCTGCCTCCCGGGCCCTGACCGAGGACCCCGCGTGGGACTGGCACTTTGTCCACCGCCTCTGGCGTGCGCTCCACGGCGCCGGCCCTCCCTGCGCCGACTCCCGCGGCGTTCCGAGCGCGTGCAGAGCGGCGATGGCGGTGTGGCCCCGCGGGTGTGGTAACGCCGCGCGCTCTCTGCTGCCAGGTGAAACCAAAGCGGACGAGAGCTGCAACAAGGAGGCGGCCGAGGAGAAGCAGGAGGAGGACAACGACTACCACCGGAGCGACGAGCAGGTCGGTGGCCCTGCGCCTCTGAGCCCGCGCGCGGCCGGGGGCCCCCTGAGAGAGCAGGGCCGCGCCGTGACCTGCCCGGGGTGTTTTCTCGTGTGAAGGAGGAAGAGGCGTGAAGGAAGGAGGGTGGCGACCCGAACTGGTGCCACGCCAGCCTAGTTTTCTCCTGCCAACTCCTTACTCCCTTTTTCTTCTCTTTTCTGATGATCAAAGCAGTATGTGCTTGTTGTAAAGCGTCTTACCTAGCGAGAAAGTAAAGGCCCCGCTCCCAGGTGTCCCCGGAATAATGCGGTGCAGGTGTCTGCGGTGCACACGGCCCTAAACGAGGATTTTTTAAAGTGTGGCGGCGTTGAGGAGCCTGCCCCTGCCGTTCACTGCGCTGCTCGATTAAAAAGGGGACCCTGAGCAGCCCCAGGGGTTCTGTAGAAGAGTCTGGGAAAACCCCGTGCCCATGTAACGTGGAAGCGGTAACCGCCGCCACCCTTTGACGGAGCAGAGCCGTCCCCACAGACGCCAGAGACCGGGGGCGTCCGCAGCTGCTGCTGCCGCGGGATGTGCCGCTCCGGCCCCCGGCCGCCGAGGGACAGAGGAGCGAGAGGCCGGGCGGAGGCCGCGCGGGACCGGGCGGGGGCGGGAGAGGGGCGGGGAGAGACGGTGATGGAAACGACTAATAAAGTGTGGAAAAGAAGCGAGACGCGTGTGAGACAGACACGCCAGGTCCCAGGTGCGCCGCCTGCCCCGCCGCCCGAGGGGACTGGCGGCCGCCCGCAGGGTGGCGAGGTCGGTGCGCGGTCGTCGGTAGGTGGGCCCGGCTCACGTGGCCGACGGACGCGGGGAAGTGGCCTCACGAGGAGCCTGTGGCCCGCACGGGGACCCTCCGGCCCACGGAGCGCACGCGGCAAGTCTGCGTGCCCGGACGGCCCGGGATCCCCCCAGATTAACCTCGCCGGTTGCGGTTCGGACGTCTGCTGCGGAGTTTGACCCGCTGCTTCTGCCGCTCCCCCCTTGGGAGGGGGTAAGCTCAGGAACAGCCGTGAGAACCAGGGGTGGGTCCTGTTAGAGCATGCCTGTGGCACACGTGTATCTATGAACGTGTCACATACTCCCGAGCACGACTTGGTGTGTAACGGCGAAAATGCACACGTAAACATATTTGTTTAAGACGTCACTGAACGAGCGTGGTTCCGTTGCGGTCACGGCACCACGGAAGCGCCCCTTCCCGGCGCGCACACTTTGCGGGGTGGGAGGTCACCACGAGCGTTTCAGAGACGCCAGCGCGTCGGGTGGGGGGACTCCCGAGGGGAGGTGCGGTTCAGGTCGGTGAAGAAGAGGGTCCCTGTGAGCCGCGGAGTCACCCGCCTCCCTGGGCTCCCTCTCTGTGGCCACGGGCTCCACCCTGCTGCCCAGCCTCCCGCTCTGCCCCAGGAGCTGTGTTGACCCCCACAGACGCTGCTGCTTCTCTGCTCCCCAGGTCCCAGTGGGCGCCCGGCTGAGGGACAGGGCAGAGGGCTGGGAGGTTGGGGCCTCCGGGCAGGACATGTGGGTGCGGCTGCTCGGTGGGGCTGGGTGTGCTCCTCCGCAAAGCTCAGCCCCAGTCGGGCCGGGGCCTGCGGGGGGCGGTCCTGGCGCACATGGCGAAGGGAAGCGGCTGGCGAGGCCCCGTGGTCCTGGGTCCCCACCTCCTCTCCGTCCCCGGGGGCCTCGGAGCTCTCTGGGAGTGGGTGCGGGGTTCCGTCGGCTGCCCCTCAGCGTCTGCTGTGCAGTCCGCAGCGAATCGCCGCGTGGTTTTCTGTGGAAACCGCCCTCGTGCTCACTCCTGGGAAGCGCTGGACGTGACCATGGCTCCAAAGCACGTCTCTGGACTTGCTAGTGCTTGGGCAAGCGTGTGCCTGTGGCCCAGACCGACCGGCCTGTGCTTTTCTCAGGCGGGGGGGGGCGGTGTGCGTGTGCGTGGTTTGGGGCCAAGGTCATGCATCTCACAGCTGGTGCTCGTCCCTCTTGGCCCGTTTTTTTTTTTTATTCTCTGGGAAAATGGATATGAATTGAGATTGTCGGTTTTACTGACCTTGTTCCTTTTCTAACCTTGTGACTTGATCATCCGTACAGTTTCCTGTACTACTGGTTCTAAGTACCTCTAAATTTTCATTACGATCCGTTTTTTGAACCGTGGGTTATTTTCAAAAGTGTGCATCGGAAGTTCTGAACTTCGGCCCCGGTCAGAAAGCCAGATGCCGGGTCGCTGTGTCGAGGGCCTTCAGGTGCGCGGCTCCAGAGCCAGACGCCCCCTAGGTTTGCGGCCCAGGGGCGACGGCCCATCACTGGGAGAGGATAGGGTTTGGTTTTGTTTTTAAAGGTTTTATTACTTATTTTGTGGAGAGAAGGGAGGGGAGGAGATAGACAGGGAGAGGAAGATCAATGTGAGGGAGAAGCCTCAACTGGTTGCCTCTGGCACACGCCCGGACCGGGAACCGAACTGGTGACCCTTCGGTTTGCCGCTGAGCCAGGCTGGTCAGGGCAGGACAGCGTTTCAGCAGACGGAGGGGGAGCTCCACGCAGAGATGCGTTCGTGTCCTCACCTCACCCCGCGCACCGGCGTGGACTCGGAGGCGAGAGGTGGACCAGTAAACCTTCACGAGGGCGCGCGCGAGAGCCCCGTGGGGCCCGGGCTCAGGCCCAGCGTGCTCAGGCTCAGCGTCGAGAGCACGGCCTCGGAGGCACGGCGCCGCCCTGACCACTGCGAAACACGCGGCTCTGCAGAGACACCGTTAAGAGAGTGAAAAGATGGGCCACAGACGGCGGGGAGACACTGCAAGTTGTGTTTCTGGCGAAGGGTTTGTGTCCAGAAGACACGATCCTCGCGGTTCAGTGAGAGGACAGTCCAGCTGAGCGGGAGTCCAGCAGACACGTCCCCCGAGACGAGAGGCCGGCCACATGGCCGGCAGCTCTGCTCCGAGGGCGGTCCGTCTGCTGAGGGGAGGTCAGGCCCCTCTTGGCGCCGCGGCCGGGGCCCCGCGGGGCCGCAGGTCTCCCTGGACTCCGTGTGCCGGACTCCGCTCCTGAGCTTGAGCAGCGTTTTCTGTCTCTTACCGCCTGGGGGGGCCCTCCGGTGCTACTCCTCAACTTCCGCCTTTCCCGAGTTTTCTCCTTCCCCTGGAGCTCGTCTCGGTGCCCGGCCGTGGACCCTGCAGCCTTCTCCTCTTCCCTCCGCCCCGTCTCTGCCCAGACTCTGTCCCTGGGACCCCCTCGCGCCAGTCTGGGGGAGGGCTGACTTCCTGTAGCTGAGGTTGTCCTGTGGTTCCGCCGTCCACTGAGCCTTCCGTTCAGGTGGATGTGTTTCATTTTTACAAGCTACATTGGGTAGTCTTTTACATCCATGCTGTGTTGTCTTTAGTCTGTTCTTCTGTGTCCGTAGTGATTCCAGATGCATACACACTTCGGTTAATTCATTTGTTGATTCTTCTCTCTGGACTTGGGGGTGTGACTGAGCCGCTTCTGTGGCCACTGCTGGAGAGTTCAGTGCTAGTGTGGCGCGTCATGCCTCAGGTGGGGCCCTGTCTCGGCGGCCTGCGTGGCCCGGCCGTCCCTCTCTGGAAGGCTGCCCAGGCCCCTAGCGTCACTCTCCTTGAGTCTGTCACTCGTGGCGCCTTGCCCTGCACCTCGCACTCGGGCCCCCTGCAGTGCGGAGGGTCCAAGAGGTGACTGAACTTCAGGCTGCCCAAAGCACTCTTCCTCTTCCGATGCCAAAGTGACACGGGCCCCTGCGCATCACCGCCATGATGCAGGTGTGCGTCCCGGTCTGCGTGTGTGTGTGTGTGTGTACCCGCACGCCGTCGTCGTGTGGCCTGAGGGCAGCCGCCTGCGTCCCGCCACCAGGAGCCCTGAGAGCAGGGCTCCCGCCCGTCGAACCCAGCCCAGGAGCCGCAGGGTTACACAGTTTCGGACTCACGGTATCGCACAGTGTTTGACCATGTTTCACAAGACAGCAGTAAACCCACTTTCAGATAGTGTGTGTGAAACCGCTTTTAAAAACCCCTTCTCCACAGTGTCGGGGTCTGTTTGGCCCCTGGTCTCCAAGCAGGCAGCGTTCTCCCGTGGAGCTGCGGCCCGCCCCTCCCCGCCCGGGAGGCCGGCCCAGCCGTGTCCTTGCCCCGCAGGTGAGCATCTGTCTGGAGTGCAACAGCAGCAAGCTGCGCGGCCTGAAGCGCAAGTGGATCCGCTGCTCCGCCCAGGCCACCGTGCTGCACCTGAAGAAGTTCATCGCCAAGAAGCTGAACCTCTCGTCCTTCAACGAGGTAATGGCAGCACCGAGGGCCGCCTGCCTGTGCCGGGGCGCCTCGGGGGCCCCTGGGTGTCCTGCGCCACTTTGTTTGCAGAGTTGGCACTGGGAACAAAGGTCTCCATGTGCTGGGCCTGCCCCTCCCCCCACCCCACCGGCAGTGCCCAGGAGGCCGCGGCGAGGACAGGGGTCGGCCCAGGGTCCGTGGCCTCGGGGACCCACCGCTGAGAGAAGAGAGAGCAGAGGGGACCCGGGGCTGCGAGGTTGTTAGAGCGTGTCTGTTCGGCTGGGAGAGAAATTACGTGGTGTCGCAAGCCAGTGGGTGGGTGGGGCCGGAACGACCGGAGAGACAGGTGGGAAGATGAGACACTTCTGGTCGTGACGAATGATGAGAATGCGGCGAAGCCCGGAAACCCAGCATTGCGGGGGGGGGCCGGGGGGGCAAGGGGGCCGTCACTCCGTGCTGAGGGAGGGCGCTGGGGGCCTCCAGCCCCAGGCCACGGTTTGAGATGCAGTCTTCACGTGCTCCTCGGGCTGCGCGAAACGCGGTTGTTGGGGTGCAGGGATGGAAGCGGAGGGGCCCACCGGGACGTCTGCCGCGGCGCGTCGGGGGAGGGCCGGCCGGACGCCGTGGGGCGTGCAGACCGGACATGCGTGTCAGCGGTCAGCGGCGGCCCAAACGCTGGTGTGTCCTCCCCGCCCAGACCCGTCAGCGTGGCCTTTTTGGGGAAAAGTCTCTTTGGGTGTGATTAGGTGAAGGGTCTTGGGGTGAAAGGGCCCGGGCGACCCGGTGGGCCTGAGCCCAGCAGCAGCACCCTCGCCGGAGGGGGGCAGAGGACACGGGGGCTCACAGAAGGGGCCCCGGAAGCTGGAGGGGCGAGCCTGCAGGGCAGGCTCTGCCTGCCGGCACCTCGGTTTTGGACGTCCGGCCGCATCCGAGAGCCCGTGCGTCTCCGTTGTCTTAAGCCACCGAGTTCGTGGTGCTTTGCCCGTTGCCTGAGGAACCGAGCAGGTGCCGGTGTCGGGAGGTGCAGCGCCGTGGGGCGCAAGGGGAGGGGTCAGGGGGGCGCGGCTCTGGGCTTGGAGACAAGGTGGAGGCCGGGGGTTTGGTCCGAACACCGGGCTCGCCTGAGGGGGCTCGCCAGCGCGCGGTCCAGGACTCGGAGCCCGAGACGGCCGGGAGGAGGTGCCGCCGGGAGGAGGTGCCGGCGTGGCAGAGAGAGCTGCCTGGGGCCATGTGGCGTGGAGCAGGGCGGCAGGAGTAGAGACGTCGGGACGCAGCTGCGTCGCAGGCCGGGAGGAGAGGGGCCTGGGACGCGGGGCAGCGGCGGCCTGGACGGTGTCCTCGGGTGTGTGGGCGCGGAGCCTGGGCCTTCAGCTGAGGAGATTCCCAAGCAAAGTGGGGGGGTGCCTGAAGGTGCTCGGACACCTGGGACCCCGCTTTTCCACGACGCCTCTCGAGCACCCGAACAGCCTGAAGCAGCTCGGAGCCGGCGGGTCCCCAGGCCCCGGCGCCAGGCACCCGCCGACAGCTGGAGCAGAGCTCCAGGGGGTGCAGCGCCGTCCTCGCCAAAGCGGCCGGGCCCGCGGGGTCTGCGGGGACGTGTGTGCGGCCCTTTGACGGCCACAGCATAGAGACGCCCTCCAGACGGCCCCCGGACAGTAGTCCTCCGGGCGCTGACCCTGCTGGCCCCCAGCCCACAGCCGTGGGGGGTCTTTGGGTGCCCGACAAGCCCCCGACACGTTGCCCATCGACAGAAGTTGGCCAGCCCTGGCTGCTGTGGCTCCGAGGGGTGAGCGCCGGCCTGCGACCTGGAAGGTCCTGGTTCAGTTCCCTGTCAGGGCGCATCCCTGGGTTTCAGGCGTGGTTCCCCCACCCGCCCCCGCTGCCAGGGCTCAGACAAGAGGCAACTGGTTGATGTGTCTCTTCCTCTCTTTCTCCCCCCCTTACCCTCTCTCTAAGAAAATAAAATGAAATCGTCCTGGCTGGTGTGGCTCAGTGAACTGAGCACCAGTCTGCAAACCAGAAGGTCACCAGTTCGATTCCCAGTCAGGGCACGTGCCAGGTCGAGGGCCAGGTCCCCAGCAGGGGGCGCGTGAGAGGCAGCGATCAAAGGCAGGGGACGTGGTCCTCCCGGACCCTCCCCTCTGCCCCTTCCTTCCCTCGGGCTCTGCCAGGTGCGGGCACCGTCCCCGGCGGCAGGAAGGCCCTGGGTGCGCTTTTGGAGCTGTGCCTTGGAGACAGTTACAGCGGGTTTTATCTGTAGTCAGTCTCACAGCTTTAAAACAGTAAAAATGAAAAGTTGCTACATAGGGAAGAGACGGAGGGAAGGTCAGACACGGAGCACTGTGCACCAGCCGAGAGCAAGACGCTCCGCCAGCGCCAGGATTACAGCTCAGCTTCCTGCGCCTGCCGCCGGACGCTCAGCGGCTCCGAGGCCCGTCCGCGCTCTCCAGGGTGGCCCGTGCCTGGGGCCCGCCCAGCACCCGGACTCGGGGCCCTTCTTCAGGCCCTCGCCCTAGGGGACGTCGGGAACCCCTTCCCGGCACCTGCCGCCACGTGGGGAGGTGAGAGCAAAGCAGCAGGGAGACCACCGGCGCTCCAGGCAGGACACCCAGAGCCCAGGACCGGACGCAGCCGGCGCTGGCAGGACGAGGGGCTGCAGGACCCCGCCTTCACTGCTGGGGGGGTGGCGCGGTGTGGTGACTTGGGTGGACGGCGTGGTGTGGTGGTTTCCCACAAGACTGACCGCAGCACCCTCACCACCCCGCCCAGCAGCCGGGCTCCCGGGTCGTCCCCCCACGGGGCTGAGCACTCCCCCTTGCAGAGCCCTGCGCACGGGGTTCACAGCAGCTTCGGCGGCAGGGGCGGCCGGCACTCGGGGACAGCGCAGATGCCCGTCAGTGGGTGGTGGACGGTGGTGGACGGGTGCGCCGTGGTCCGTTCAGACGGGGGGTGCTGCTCAGCCCGGAAAGGAACAGGCCGCCAGAGCCCCCCGAAGATGGGGAGGGGCCGCGAGTGCACCCGCCTGAGTGCGGGGGCCAGGCCCCGCGCGGCGACCCCAGCCGTGGGGCTCTGGGGAGGCAACACCGTGGAGACAGTGGGAAGATTGGCGGTTGCCGGGGGTTGGTGGCCGGGGGGCGGAGCCCAGAGGGTCTCGGGGCAGTGAGAGTGCTCCGCGTGGCTCCGTGGTGGGTGCTGGTCACCGTGCAGACCTGCAGGGCGACCCCGACGCGCGTCCCCTCCCGGGGGTGCTGGCAGTGGGTGAGCCGGGCAGGGGGCATCTTCCCAGTGTTGCTGTGAACCTAAAACTGGCCTGAAAATAACCTTTAAAAAAAAAAAGAGGAAAAGGCCTGTGGAGCCCGTTACCTTTTCCCACTGTGGGGAGAGGGACCCGCTCCACGGGGGGCGGGCGGGGGGGGGCGGGACGAGGGCGGGGTCCGGCCCTGGCAGCCGTGGGACCGACAGGGTGGGTGTGGCCCCAGCCTCTGCAGCCCCGGGCCCTCTGCGGCGAGCGGCTTCCTCCTGCTCTTGCCCACCCCTAGTCCGGGCCCAGCCGAGCACCCCCCCGGCGGAGACGGGCCCTGATCCGCCGTCCTGCAGGCCCACTGACCCGAGCTGCTTCCCCCCCAGCTGGACATCTTATGCAACGAGGAAATCCTGGGCAAGGACCACACGCTCAAGTTCGTGGTCGTCACGAGATGGAGATTCAAGGTGAGACGCGGCGCTCCGTGCCGAGCGGTCGGTGTCGTCCCTGGAGCCTGCCGCGGGTGGCGGCGCTCTGCCGGCCCGGCCCCGTCCGGGAGCTCAGAGAGAGGGCTCGGTCTCGGGGGCTGTGAGACGCAGCCGGTCTCGACGCAGCCCCAGGGCTGCCGCCCCTGAAGTCCGCCGGGCGGAGGTGGCCCCAGGCTGCCCGTGCTGGGGCGTGGCCGCTGCCCTGAGCCGCTCTTCCGTCTTCGTGCGCGTGGGGACAGGCGGTGGAGCCCGTCCTCTGGGGGGGGGGGGACACACCCGAGACCCGGCCCTGGCGCCCCCGTCCCGACGGACGCCCAGCACCCGCCGCCCTCACGCCGGCCTGTCTTGCAGAAGGCGCCGCTCCTGCTGCACTACAGACCCAAGATGGACCTGCTGTGACGTGCGGCGGGCGCGGGACCCCGCGCTCGCAGAGGGGCCTCGGGTCCGGGGACCGGGCTTCTGAACAGAGTATTTATCACTTTTGTACGAGAGACTTCGCACTCAACGAGACACTACCAGCAGCACGGTGACCAGGCGGTGACACCCTCACAGGCGCCCGCACCGGCCTCCCCTCCAACGTGCGGCCCTGCCTGCCCCAGGCCTCAGGACCACGGCGTTTTGGTTTAGTCGATGAATTAGGTTTCAGGATGAGCCTCAAAAATACTTGTACGTGTGTTGAATCCTCCCTAAGTTATTGAAAAAATATCTTTTCATGGTGAATGACGATATTTATGTTGCCTTTAGCTTCCTGAAGGCTTAGAAGATCTATAAAAAATTAATTTAAAAGCGTACCAAAAGAGGGTGCTGTTCGTATTCCGAGTCCACCATGGTGTTCAGCGTTCCTGCGGTGAGACCCCGCGCCGCCACTGCCGCGGGTCTCTCTGGCCCCCTTGTGCCCCGGCCCCGGCGGCCCCGGCGGCCCCGGCGGCCCCGGCGAGCCTGGGACCTGGCGCTGGTGTGCGGAGCATCGTCGTGTTAGAGCTCTCCGCTGCTGTCAGACAGGGCCCAGCTAGTGGCCTTTCGGGTGGGGGCGCTTCAGCAGAGGAGGGGCTTGCGCCCGTGGGGACTCGGCAGACCCAGGTTCCCCACCACGTCTGTCCTCCCTTCATGGGGGTGCAGCCCAGCCCTCCTCTCGTGCCCCCCGATCGTGGGGGGGGTTCTCACCGCGCCTCACAGGGCGGGGCAACCGTGGCTCCAGTTGCTAACGACCTACAGCCAGCCACAGGTGACTCACAGTGTCTGACCCCCTTCTCCTCCTGAATGTTAATATTTTTGTGGAATTAGAGAATAAACTTTTTGCCAGCACATGAACGTGTCCCTTTAAAGTGGTACCTCGGAGCGTGTCAGGTGGGGTCAGGGAGAAAGACCGTCCTCGGTGGGGACAGTGTTGTCCCGGAGGCGGCTGCCACCGGCTGTGTCCCGCTGGCTCCTCGGTGACCTTGCACCCCTGCTCCGTCACCTGCCCGGCCTGCGGGCTGGGTCTCCATGAAGTGTTTCACTCGAGCGACTGGACTCGGCCTCCAGTTGGCTCCCGCGGCTCCGGTGGGGCTCCCCGACCTGCTTCCCGCTCTCTGGGCGTGGGTGTCGGGGCAGCTGCCAGTTGCCCTCCTCGCAGAGAAAACATTCAAATCGGTGCAGCCCAAGCAATTTTAATGTCAGGCCCTATAAAAGCGTCAAGCACCTGGTTGGGAGTTGGCCAGAATGCAGTTTTTATTTCAGCCCCCACACTCCCAGTTCAGTTCAGACGGCCCCGTCACCTAAGGTTGCTCTTCATCCAGGTGGTTCTCAGTGACGCCCCGAGGGCTTGGCGAGCAGGTGTGTGTGAGTAAATATGACCTGTCTACCTCAAAACGCACATCTCTGCTGACGCGTCTGTCCGACCGCGGGGGGCACGGCGCGGGCTCGGCGGGTCTTAGGGCGCAGGGACTTCCCCTGCGGCGCGAGGGGGTGAACAGGTGAGCATCCAAATTCAAACAGAATCGGTTGGGGCTCAGACTCAACCAAGTGTGTCTGTAAGAATCTCCCGATGTATATTTGTAACTTTGTAGCTCTCTTTGAAATCACTTGAATTTGCTATGGTGCTAAGTTGATACATTTAAATACACAGAGAAGTGGAGGGAGGTCGGGCGTGTGGACATCACAGCTGGCTGCCCGCCGCTCTGGTGTGGTCCCGCTTTTGTAACCGTGTTAACCGGAGGAAACCTCAGCAGCAGAAGTACCTATTTTTCTAAGATTTCCTCGTGCAGACTGTTGGCCTGCAGGACGGGGCGGTCCCTGGCCCCTGGCCCCCGGCCTCCGGTCCATGGCGGCCTGGCCGCGGAGGGACGGGCGGGGCTGCACCGCACCACAGCTCTGCGTTTCCAGCCCGAAAGTCAGGGTCGGCTCTTGGTTGGACCCCTGCGGGTTCACAGGTGGAGCTACTGTGAAGTCGTTCCACGCGTCTTGGTGCTGCTGGAACACGGCTGCTCCACGGCCCGTGCCCTCAGCAGCCTGGGACTCACCGGATGGTTTTCATGGAAACGAAATTCAGATAGAGTATATAATATGGAATTTAAGATTTGGGGGGTTAAAAAAGAAAACTTAACTTTATAAAATTATTTATTCTATTTTAAGCCTTCTATCATGTTTTCCCGCCCGTGCTCGGTTCCCGCGGCTCAGCTTTAGTTACAGGCATATAAGCGAGACCAGGCGCTCTGCAAGCTTCTCCCTGTCCTTTGCGTGGTTCCGACCTGTCTGTTCCGTTTCCCCGGGCGAAGAGCACCGCCGGTGCTCCCACGCTCCTGTGCAGTAGGCTCGGCGCATCGTCAGACGTCTGTTTAAGTTGTGAGTAGCTTCTTTCCTCGACATCGGAAGGGAACGGGGGTGGGGTCTCGAAATCTGTGCATTCAGCTCTTTGGTTTCTCCCGTCCGCTGTGATGGGGAGAGCGCTGCTCCGGGGCCTGTGCGAGGGCCTGTGTTCCCTGGCCTTGGGGCCCTCCAGAGCGGCCTCGCCGGGCGTCCCCGGGGCCCCTCCCGGGTCCTCCTGGCTCTGGGGCGTGGCCACCGGTGGACGGGCGCCGCTGGGCCCAGTGCGCTAGGAACGAGCCAGCGGACCGCCGGGCCGCGCGGCGGTGCCGGACGTGCTCCCCAAACACCGGGGTGGCGGCGGTGCCGGCAGCAGAGCCAGCCTCTCTGTTTCCTCAGGAACCCACGCGCGCCCCGCCCGGCACCCGCGACCTTCCTGGTGGGCCCTGTCTGTCTGTCTGTCTCTAGCAAGAGCCGGGAGAGCAGACGGGGGAGCGCCAGGCCGCACCGGCCCCGCAGCCTCCGCGTCCCCCGCGTCCCCCGCGCCCCAGGGTGGACTGACGTGCCCTGGGGCGTGTAGCCTTCGTGCGCCGTGCCCGGCGCCGCGCGGGGGGGCGGGGGGGGGCCGGGGTGAGAAAACCACGTCTCCCCGGACCGCGCCGGGCTGGCGTCGGGCTCAGCGCCCCACCCGGTCCCGCGGAGGCTGCCCTGGGTTATGGAGGTGACGATGCAAATACATATTTTTGACTGTTTAATTTGAAAGTTTACATTTTTTATGCTTTGTGTTGGTGTGTAATTTTTGTACTATTGGTGGCTAGTTTTTGTCTAAAATCTTTTTTGGAATATTGCTTAAATGTTTTGATTTTATGACAGTGAAGCTTGTATTCAGTGTTTTGCCAATTAATATTATATGCTTGTAATAAAAGCAAGAGAAAAACTTCACCAAATTTCTCTCAGGCTGGACGTTTATCACCTAAAATGTCGGTAGGAGCCTAAGTGTCCCGAGGAACCAGGCGCGCACCGGGCGGACCCTCCCGGGTGCGTGTCCAGCCTTTGCCCGCTCCGTGTGGCCGTTGGGAGCGTCACCTCGGGCAGACCCTCCTCTCAGTGGGTCCCGGGTTCAGTGACAGGTTTGGCGGGACCGCGGGCAAGGGCCTGGCCGGAGCTCCTCCAGGGCAGAGGCTCGCGCCTGGGAAGCTGCGGGACCCCTGCTGGGCCCCCGTGGGCGTGCCTGGTGGACGGGGCTCCACTGCCCCTCCCCCCCCCCTGCCCCCGTTGGCTTTGGGCAGCGGCCCTCGCAGCAGGAGGTCACAGCCCCGGGCAGGCCCCAGGAGTGCGCTACAGACTCTCCGGGTGCCTCCCAGGGTGGGCGGTGTAGGAAGGCCCTGGGGGGGGGGGGAGGGCCCGGGGGGCAGGGCGGGGCGCTGCCTTCCCGCACCTGGGAGGACTCAGGTGCACGTGCTCCCGCGGCAGGAACAGCCCCCGCACACCTGGCTCCCCGGGTTCAGTGAGGTTGACACTCGAAATTAACCATCACAGACCATTCAGAGGGGGAAAAGCACTGTGCTCGAACCCTTAACTTCTAAAAAGATTTTATTTTACTTTTTATTTATTTTTAGAGAGAAGGAGAGAAACATTAATGTGGGGTTGCCTCTCTCACACCCCGTACTGGGGACCTGGCCCACAGCCCAGGCACGTGCCCTGAGTGGGGATCGGAACTGGCGACCCTTCCGTTCACAGGCACGAGCTCAGTCCACTGAGCCACACCAGCCAGGGCTGAAACCTTAATTTCTTACAATAATGTTCTGTTTTTCAGCTGTAGTTAAGGTGCAGTATTACTTTCAAGCATACAACACAGTGATCAGATGTTTGTATCACTTACGAAGGGACTCCCCCGGAGAAGTCCGGCGCCCGCCTGGCACCACACACAGTGGCTGCGGCACCACCGACTCCACGCCCCTGGGGGCCTGTCACTGCCAGTCTGAGCTCCCCCGTGCCCTCCCCCCGTCCTCCCGGCTGCCTAACCACCCTGCCCTCTGGCAGCCTTGGAAACGTTTTCTGTGTCTACGAGTTTGTTCCTGTTCTGCTCAGTTATTTATTACTATTATTTTATTTTTTTAGAGATTTTATGTGTTTTTTAGAGAGGGGAAGGGAGGGAGAATGAGAGGGAGAGAAACATCAGTGTGTGGTTGCTTCTCACGTGGCCCCCCACTGGGGACCTGGCCTGCAACCCAGGCATGTGCCCTGACTGGGAATTGAATCAGCGACCCTTTGGTTCAGCGACGCCTGTGCTCGATCCACTGAGCTACGCCAGCCAGGACTGTTCGGTTATTTTTGTTTTTTAGGTCCCACATGTAAGTGAGACCATATGGTATTTGTCTTTCTCTGTCTGACTCCCTTCACTCAGCACAATACCCTCTAGTCCATCCATGTTGCTGCAAAGGGTGAGATTTCCTTTTTCTGTGGCCGAGTCCTGCTCCCTTGCACAGATGCACCACTTCCTTACCCACTCGCCTGCCGATGCACACGCAGGTTTCTTCCGTCCGTTGCTGTTGTAAGCGGTGCTGCCGTGTAAACATGCATGTGGATGCGTGTGTCTTCTTGAATGAGTGTTTTGGATTTCTGCAGATACACACCCAGATGTAGGACTGCTGGGCCCTTCCTTGTCTCTTCTTGTAAAGTCTGCTTTGGTGTAAGGATTGTTACCCCAGCTTCCTTTTGTTCACATTTACATGAAACTGAGTTACTTTCTTTTTCTTTTTTTAATTTATTGATGTGAGAGAGAGAGGAAGAGAAACTTTGATTTGTTGTTGCACTTACTCCTGCATTCACTGGTTGATTCCTGCATGTGCCCTAACTGGGGATCGAACCCTCAACTTCAGCGTTTCGGGACGACGCTCTAACCAGCCGAGCTCCCGGACCGGCGCCCGTTTCCTCGAAGCTGAGTTCTGAGGGTTGTGCGTGCTCCGCGCACAGCTCCCAGGGCGGGTGTGAGGCGTGTGCCTGTCCCCCCCGGCTGTGGCTGGTGTGCCCGCGGTCTTCACACACGCCGCCTTGGGCAGGGCGAGCGTGTTTGGAGTTGATGGGTCCGGTGGGTCGTTCTGCTCTCTTGTGGACCGTGCTTTCTGGCACACGTTTCACGTTGCCAGGGTTCACACTTCTCTGCGTTCACGTGGAGTTCACGGGAAGGGGGCGGTTCGGGCCGAGGTCCCCACTGGCTGAGGAGACTGGCCCTTCTCCACCGGGCGGCCTCCGCCTGACGGTCCGACCGGAGCGGCCGCATCCGCGTGGGTCTGTCCCTGGACACGCCAGTCCGGCCACACCGCCTCCTTGCGGCTCTGCTCTGTGGAAAGGGCTAAGGTCGGGTCGTGCGCGTCACTTCACTTTGCTTTTCTTGGTGGAACCACTTGAGCCACCCGAGGTCCTGCACCCTCCCGTGAGAGCTTAGGGTCGTCTTCTCTACCAAGGGTCCGCTGGAGTCCCTGGAACTTAGGAGGGACGGACGTCCTGACTCTGGGGTCTT